AGGAGGGAGGGAGGAGGGGAGGAGGAGAGGAGAGGAGGAGGAGGAGAGGAGGGAGGAGGAGGAGAGGGGGCATCTCGGGAGCCTCTGGTAGCATTCTTGGGGCCTCCTGTGAGCTTCCTGGTTGGGGCCTCTTTGGGCCTGTCGGGGGCGTTTGGGTGCTGCTCGGGGGCTTCCCTGGCCGTCTCAGAGCATTCCTGGCACGTCCGATTCTGTCGGAAGCCGTCTTGAAGGCCTCCCTGGGCTGACTTCAAGGCCTCCTGGGCAGTCTGGGGGCCCCCTTAGGGCCGTCCTGGAGCCGTCCTGGAGGCCCCTTGAGCGATCTTTCGGGGCTCTTGGGCCGTCTCGGGCCGTCGGAAGGCCGAAAAGAAGGAACTGCCAACATTCTTCAAACACCATAGGACAATCAATGATTTTGGCCCTTGAAGGCCTCTTGGGCCGTCTTGGATGCCTCTTGGGAGCCTCTAGGGCCGTCATCGTCGATCTTGAGGCTATCTTGGACCGTCTTGGGTGCATCTTGGGCCGTCTTGGAAGCATTTGGGGGGGGGGCCTCTCTGGGCCGACTGGGGTCCTTTTGGGTTGCTCCGGGGCCGTCTTGGAGGCCATATTGGGCGTCTTGGATGCCTTTTGGCCCGTCTTGCAGCCCTCCTGGGGCGGTCTTGGGGGCCTCTTGGTTCTTTCTGGGGCCATGATGGAGGCCTCTTGGGCGATCTTGGGGCGATCTTGGGGGCCACATGGGCCGTCTTGAGCCGTCGGAAGGCCGAAACGAAGCAAATGCCAAAATCCTTCAACAACCTAAGGAGAATCAATGATTTGGGCCTCTTCGGGCCTTCCTGGAGGACCTCTTGGGCCGTCTTGGAGGCCTCTTGGGAGCCTCTTGGGCCGTTTTGGGCCATCTTGAGGCCATCTTAGGGCGTCTTGGGTGCACTTTGGGCCGTCTTGGAGGCATCTTGGGGCCATCTTAGCCGTCTTGGAGGCCATGTTGGCCGTATTGGAGGCGTCTTGGAGGCCATCTTGGGCGATCTTGGGGACCGTCTGGACCATGAAAAACCCTTGGGAGCCGGGTCCGGGCAAATTTCCGGCATCCTTCCGGGTGGTCGGCGAGACGGCTCGAAGCCCAAGGGGGAGTTCTTTTTGGAAAAAGAGCCAAAACCACAACCCATATAGTTCGGTACGCCAGGCACCCCTGCGATGAATCGACAGGGGGCGGCGGATCGAAGACGCCTACGGCGAATCACCGCCGCCCCCTGCCGTTTTGGAAGCGCCTATGTGGCCGAACGTTGAGGCCAGACCTGCCAAGCTATCGGACCACGTGTTCCCCGAATCGGTTTGGAAAGCCTTCGGGAACACTGGGCATCTTGAAGGTCATCTCTGGCCGTCTTGGAGGCTGGCAAGTTTGGGCGATCTTTGGGGCTTTTTGGGCCGTCTCGGGCCAGCTTCGAGCCAACTTCGGCCATCTTGGTGGGGTTGCCTGGCACGTCTGAAGCCGTCGGAAGCCGTTTTGGGGGCCTCTATGGGCCGACTTGGGGCCCGCTTGGAATGCTCCAGGGCCGTCTTGGAGGCCATCTTGGGCGTCTGGGAGGCATCTTGGGCGTGTTGGAGGCCTCTTGGGCCCTCTTGGGGCCCTCTAGGGGCCATCTTGGAGGCCACTTGGGCCATCATGGGGCTCTCTTGGGGGCCTCTTGGGCGATCTTGGGGGCTTCTTGGGCCGTCTTGAGCCGTCGGAGAGCCGAAAAGGCGCAAATGCCAAAATCCTTCAAAAACCAAGGGAAAATCAATGATTTTGGCCTCTTCGGACTCTCCTGGAGGACCTCTTGGAGGCCTCTTGGGCCGTCTGGGAGGCCTCTGGGGGGCCTCTTGGGCCGTCTTGGGCCGTCTTGGACTCTCTTGGGCCGTTTTGGAGGCCGTCTTGGACCATCTCGGGCGGACTTGGAGGCCATCTTGGGCCATCTTCGCGATTTTTTGAGGATGTCCCGAGCGAAACGGCCGTTTTGGGGCATTGACAGATGGATTTGGGGAAAATTGCGGGTGGCCGGCGGGACGGGCCGAAGCCCACTGGGGAGTTCTTTTAGAACAGAACCAAAACCAAAACCTGAATCATCCAGCACGCCGTGCACCCCTGCAAGCAGGGGGCGGCGGATCTAGTGGCCTTCGGCCTATTCCGCCACCGTGCCTGGGTGTTGGGTCAGAGACCTGATGTGTGTTGGTTGGGATCTCGTGGTTGGCCTCTCGGGGGCCTCTGGGAGGCAGTTTTGAAGCGTCTTGGGGGCCGTTTTGGGGCCTCGTCGGGCCTCTTCGGGCCTCTTGCTCGTGGGAGCCTCTTGGGGCGTCTTGGGAGCCTCTGGGGGCCTCTTTGGGCTGTCTTGGGGCCTCCTGGGAGTGCCTTGGGGCGGAAGGATAGATTTTCCAGTTCTTCGTCCCCCTCTTGGGCCTCTCTTGGGCCCGTCTTGGGAGCCTCTTGTGCCGTCTTGGAGCGGTTTTCGGGCCCTCTTGGGCGGTCTTGGAGCGTCGAAAAGCCGGAAGGGCGAGAACCCCCCAAACCTCGAGAAAACCACTGCAAATTAAGACATTCGGCCTCTTGGGACCCTCTTGGGAGGCCTCTTAGAGGCCTCTTGGGGCGATTTGGCGGCCTGCAGGGCCTTTTTGGGGCCCTCTTGGACCGTCTGGGAAACACCTTAGTCCCTTCTTGGCATGTTTTATTGGGGCTCGTGGGCCCCAGACAGTCTGCTCGCTGAACAGCTCGGACTGGGCGGCCCATGTCTGGCGTGCCTCGGAGCTGTTGGTACGCAGCGCCATCGAGCTTCCTGCTGCACCCCACGATCAGGAGTCTGGAACGGGGTTGGGGAACGACACACAGCCCACAGAGGAGTCAACCCATGGCTTGCCCACGAGCACCTGCGGGGGAGGGACATGTGCGAGGACCCCAAGTCTCACTTCCTCACACCTGCCAACCTCCCACGAGGCCCACTACAAAGGGCAGCGGGGAAGTAGAGAGTTCTCTGCTGACGGCTCTGGGCTTCGTGCTATTGTGCCTGCGAGGGTATCGAAAGAGGGTCTGGGCGTTCGCGGTACCCGATCAGGGGAATGTGAAGCATGTGGCATGCAGGCTTTCAATTATCCCTCGAGCAGTGGTGTGGACAAGTGTTGGCACTTGATCGGCGAGCCTGGGGGTTCTCGGGCCACGGTCGGTCATGAGAAGCAAGGTGAAGGCCCACGTCATTCGGGCTCAGCGCGCCGAGATGAGCCCCGACCTTGGGCAGAAGTGTTTGCGGCGGACACGCACGCCAAATCAGGCGCCCGGTTACACCCGCACGAGAATTGGCAGCGCCAGGCGTACCTTGTCAAAGACGGCTGAAACATGAGAGGGCGGAAGCAAGGAGGCCGAAACCGAGAATGGGCTGACGCAAGGAGGCCGAAGCGAAACGAGGGACGAAGCTGGAGCTGAGGCTAGATGATGGCTGGACGTAGCCTGCGTGACAGCCGACGCGGGCGAATGGTCGCGAGCCCAGGGACGGTCCTGGGCCTCCGAGGAGGTGCCCGGTCGCACGGCAGAGGCAGCAGGCTGCCGCTGCGCGACCCTCGATCGCGGCAGGGGGGGGGGTGCGCACAGGGCTCCGTGGCCCGCGGAGGGTCGAGGCTGCGGGCAGACGCGGCCGCGGGAGGCCGCGGGCTTGCGCGGCTTCGGATTCGGTGCGACCGTGCTGAACGAAGTCTGGGGGCGGTCCTGCGCGTCCTCCTCCTCCCCTCCCCCATTCCCCCTTCTCGCTCGCCACGTTCCACACTTACACTGTATGAGTGATGCTCTCCTCCCCACCCGAATGACGTCCGGAAGACGTTCGGCCCCCCTCTGCGTACTGCTTTTTTGCACCAGATTCCCGGGAAACGGGTTTTCGAAGGGTGTTTTTCCAAAGTGTTGCTCCTGCTGAAGCGCTGGCCCCACTTCTGCGCCTCTGGTTATTCCCAATCCTGCTCCCGCTGCAGCGCGGGCGCTTTCTGTCCTTCCAAACCGGCCCCTAAATGTAGAACATGTTCCCCCGAAAAACCGTCGGATGCGATTCCACATTCGGTGTCGATTCATGTTTTTTGGGGCGGCAGGAACCCCTCCCCACTTTGAGGCCTCGTCGCTTTCAGGAAGTATCAAGCTGGAGCCCCGTTTCTGCTTTGAGAAGGCGATGTTGGAAGCAGAGCCAGCGGGTGCACTCCATCAGCACCGCCTTGTGTGGAGCTTTTCAGGGAGCCCAGGAGCTAGACATGGAGCCACGACTCCAGACCAGCCCAGACCTCTTGAAGACGATCCATTTCCCCTCCAAGGAACCCGACTCCATGCCATGACATGTTGTGCGGTGTTGTGTCTGGCGCCGCTGTGCGATGCCATGTTTGCGTTGCAATGCGTTGTGGTGCACTGCTTTTCTGCGCAATGCCACGCGATGCTATGGCATACTACGCTCTGCCGTGCTTTTCTACGCCATGCCATGCCGTGCTCTACCATGCATCCGTACCCTCTCGCAATCATTGCTCTGTTCGACATCCGACTGTGCGAATAGAGGGGATATCTACGCCATGGCAGGAGATGAGAGGGAGGAGTAGGACGTCAGATACGACGCGAGCGCACCTAGCTTGCCCCCTGCCCTTCTCTTTCCTCCTGCGACTCTTCTGCTGCCCCCCCTCCAACTCCTCGCCCCCCCTGGTCCTTCCTCCTTTGAGCCTTCGAGCTGCGTGTTTTTCCGGGCTTCCTCCTCCTTTTCGTCCTCCTCCTCCTCTTCCCCCTCCTCCTCTTCCTATTCCTCCTCCTTCGTTTCCTCCTCACCCTCCTCCTCCTCCTCTCCTCCTCCGCCTCCTCCTCCTCCCTCCCTTCCCCCGTCCACCTCTTCCCCTCCCCCTCTCCCTCTCCCCGCTCCCCGTACTGTTCCCTTTCCTCTTCCTCCTCCTCCTCCTCCTCCTCTTCCTCTTCCTCCTCTTTGGACGTATATGCTGATGACTATGGTATTTCGTCCGGTGGCAAGGATGTCGTCGTGAGTTCGGATCTGAAAGAGTACACTACCTCGGTCATGCAAGCTATCCAGGAAGACGTGGCGCGTTCAGTGGCTGAGGATGAGGCTGCCGTTGTGGCCTCCAACGGTCGTCAGGGGAAGGCCCTCAACCAGTTCTTGGGTGTCTTCGGAAGCGACGGCAACACGGTGTCGGGGGTCAATATGGGCGTTGGCGACACGGCGGGTAGGCCCCGTAGGAGGAAGAAGGGTTTGTCTCAGGTGCCCTTGGGCAAGCTCCGCATGTTCAGGAAGGCTCAGAAGGCCCTGGGGACGCACTCGCGGAAGATTTTCATCGCGGACCCCCAGTGTGGAGCTACCTACGGCGCCGATGCCCACGGCACCTCGGACACGGAGCTCAAGGCCTTCAGGAGATGTTTCAGCAAAAGCGTGAAACCTTCTGCGGGCTCCAGGAGCCTCACTACTTTGATGGTTCTGGATCGCGACCCGTGCTACTACGCCCCTATCGCTCCTGTGCTGCGCTTGGCCAATGCGATTTGGTTGAATCTGACCAGGCTCTATCAGTATGCAGTTCATGCTCCTCTTTTGCGTGGAGCATGGGAGGCAGCCTTCGCGCCTATGTCGGCAGCAAGAGCTTCCTTGCACAGAACAGGTTGGATCATGACAAGTTGCATCTTGCTGGAGACGGATCAGGGAGTCCAAATCGGTTTTGCCAACATCAGCCCAAGGTTGTTAAACAAGTTCTTGAACGATGGAGTTCCGAGGCAACTTCAGAGGCAGTCTGCGGTGAGGCATGGTCTCCTTGATGGTTCTCGGTTCTGTGTTGATGTTTTCATACAGGCGTTCAATTCCAGGAAATGGTCTGCATGTCAGAAGGGGTGGATTTGTTTCTGTTGCTTGCAACGCCGTTTGGACAGGTCCCAGAGCGCAGGAGACTGGGTATCTGTTCGACGGTATCTCCTGCCAGCTGTGCGACCAGGGCGACAGCATCCATGACAGGCTGTGGTGTTGCCAGCCAGTCAGCAAGATTCGATCAGGTGTGGTTGAATCGGAGATCATCGATAGCTCTGCCGCATTCCATCCCGACCATCCTGACTGGCTCCTGTTTACTTCGGGCCTCTTCAGTCACCCTGGAGATCGGGTACCGCCCCCGATGTTGGAAGGAGGTATGGTGGTGAGATGGGTTGACGGCAGGCCTCCTGGGTCAACTGACATTGGCGGTTCTGTATGTTTGGATGGGTCTGGCTTTAAGGGTCCGTCCCCTGAACTATGTAGACTTGGTTTGGGGGCTAGTGTCTATGATAGTGTGCGCAATCTTGTGTGCACCCTAGAGGGCCCTGTTCCTAGGTGGCTCCCACAGACCTCTCAGGCGGGAGAGTTCTGCGGGCTTGGGGCCACCAACGAGCTCCTGTTGTGGGCCTAGTCTGGGATTCTCAGATTGTGAGAATGTCGTCCGAAGTTTAAACTCCCCTCAAGTTGTTAGGTTCAGGTATGATAGGCAGTATCCAGGCACCTGGTTTAACTTGGCCGCCAGTAAGTACACGCATGCCCACAACATGAAGGAAGGCACATCCTTCTGACGAAGGTCTTGTTGGCGAGTGTTGCTCCAGAGAGTCGGCAATGGTGAAGCAGATCGCTCTGCGAAGAGAGGGGCTCACGTTCACCCTTCTCTCAGCCAAGCTGAGTCGGCCAATGTCGAAGATCAGTTGTCTGCTGTGCGTGCTGTTATTGCATTGACAGCCTCTGTTCTCCCAGCACGGCCGAGGCTTACTTGGGACGGAGTGCGGCGTGTCGAGCCTGCATGCAAGCCGCCCGTCTCTCGTTTTGATCATGAGTGGGCGTGGTGCAAGTGTGTTTGGCGTTGCTTGGATGCAGTTGCGTCGAGGCAAGCATCCACAGCTCTCGTCAGTCCAGGTCCAGGCTTTCTCCTTGCGAGACTCTTCTCCCAGGCACGCCCAGGTGCAACAACTCTCCGACCTTGTCCTCCTTCTCCTCCTTGTCCTCCTTTTTCTCCTCCTCCTCCTCCTCCTCCTCCTCCTCCTCCTCCTCCTCCTCCTGGTGGTCCTCGTTCTCCTCCTCCTGGTGCTCTCCCCCCCCCTCCTCCTCCTCGTCCTCCTCCTCCTCCTCCTCCTCGTCCTCCTCCTCCTCTTCCTCCTCCTCCTCCTCCTCCTCCTCCTCCTCCTCCTCCTGGTAGTCCTCCCCCTCCCCTCCCCCCTCCTGCCTCCTCCTGCCTCCTCCTCTCCTCCTCCTCCCACTCCCCTCCTGCCTCCTCGCCTCTCCTCCTCCTCCTCCTCCTCCTCCTCCCTCCTCCTCCTCCTCCTCCTCCTCCTCCTCCTCCTCCTCCTCCTCCTCTTCCTCCTCTTCCTCCTCTTCCTCCTCTTCCTCCTCCTGCTCCCCCCCTTTCCTTCCCCGCCCCGCCCCAGCGCGCCGCGCCGCGCAAGCCTGCCCCTCGAGCGGGGCGCGGCATTCATCGTCGGCAACTCGTGCCCCCGCCAGAGATGGGCGGGGGAAGGGGGGAAGGGGGGGGTCGACGAGAGGAGGGCGGAGGGGTCGAGGATCAGAGGAGAAGAAGGTGCCGAAACCGCTGCCCATGCCTCGTTTTCCCCCGTTGGCACGTTGGGCATCCCGGGAGGCCCTCGTCGCCACCGCTGGGACAGGTCCGGGGAGTAGCGGCATGGGCATGTGTTCTGATTTCTTTGTTTCCCTAGGGGCGGAGGGGAGGTTGGAGGGATTGAGGGGGGGGGGTCGAGGGAGTGCTAGCTGGAGGGCAGGGATCTGGGAGGGAGGGATCGAGGGATGAGGGATGCGAGAGGGACAGGGGAGGGATTGAGGGAAAGGGGGGGGGTCAGGCCCCCCCCCCGAAGGGCGGCCGTCTCGCTAACTCCCATCCGCCTTCCCCCGCATAAGTAGCACGCGAGTCTGGGGATGGACAGGCGCCGCCGTCGACAGTCATTGGAGCTAGTGCAGAAGCCGCCCGGGGGCCCCGTCAAATAAGAGTGCGAATTAATAGCCAGGCGAACGCGCATGACCAAGGTTTTGACGCCATGTATCTATCCTGGTTTCTGTTGGCAGGGGTGATGGGCCTGCGCGCAGCAGGCACTATCCCCATCACAGAACACACGGCAGAGTGGTCGGTCGGCGCTCGCGCAGGACCCAGGTTCTGCCGCAGCGTGTACTTCGTGCGGTTTCTTGGCAGGGGTGGCGGCGGTTTGCTATCGTGGCTCCGGGTTTGCCCCCGGTCAGGAGGAGGAGGAGGAGGAGGAGGAGGAGGAGGAGGAGGAGGAGGAGGAGGAGGAGGGAGGAGGAGGGAGGAGGGAGGAGGGAGGAGGAGGAGGGAGGAGGAGGCGGACGGGGAGGAGAGGAGGAGGAGGAGGAGGGAGGAGGAGGAGGAGGACGAGGAGGAGGAGGAGGAGGAGTGAGAAGGAGAAGGCCTGCTCAGGAAGGCGGCGTGGCCTCTCGGAGGGCGCATGGTCTTCCGAGAGGTGGTTCCCCAACCCTCCTGTGTTGAGGTCTCGCTTTGGTTGGAGGGCACTGGTCTCCACTCCTCATTCCTCCCTCTCCCTGCCTCCCGTTCCCCACTTCCTGGCCCCCGACTCCTTGCCCTTTGCTTCTTCCTCCCCTCTCTCATTCGTCCTGCTGGCGCCGCCAGGCCACCCTCGTGCGGGCTCTCCCTGTCGCCACTTTCGTGGCCTCCTGGGAGGTCCAGTGGAGCCAGTAGTTACGCACACCACGTCGAGACCTCGCGGCTCCATGCGTGGCTGCGAGTTGCGCAACCGTCGCCACTTTCGTGGGCGCCTGGGAGGTCCAGCGGAGTGGAGTGGTACGCGGACCCCGTTGGGACCTCGCTGCTCTCCTGGGGAGCTGAGAATTGCGCATTTGTCGTGTGGGCTCCTGGAAGGTCCAGCGGAGTCGAGTAGTACGCAGACTCCGTTGGGACCTCGCGGTTCCCCTGGGGGGCTGCGAAGTGTGCAATTATCGCCACCTAGGTGGGCTCCAACTGTCGCGAATTTCGTGGGCTCCTGGGAGGTCCAGCAGAGTGCAGTGGTACGCGGACCCCGTTTGGACCTCGCACTTCCTTGGGGCGTTGCGAATTGCGCAATTTTCGCCACTTCCCGTGGGCTCCTGGGAGGTTCAGCAGAGTGCAGTGGTACGCGGACCCCGTTTGGACCTCGCGCTTCCCCGGGTTGTTGCGAGTTGCGCAACCGTCGCCAGTTTCCTTTCGTGGGCTCCTGGGAAGTCCAGCGGAGTGGAGTGGTACGCAGTTGCAAAACAACCATTGTTATTGGTGAGACCACTTTTGTGTCTTTTCGCGTCACGAAAATATTGCATTGGAAATGCAGCGCAATGTTTCGCCAGGTGCGGCGCGGCGACCCAAAGCTGCGCAATAGCCCAATGCTGGGCATCAGCGGGTGGCGAGATACATTCGTTCCAATCGTGATTCACGATGGCCATGTGCCTCTCATCGAGAAGGGGAAGCTGTCCGTGGTATCGTGGTCATTCTTCCTCGCTGCTGGGAAAACTTGGGGCGTAGGTTTGTTGGCCGCGGCGTTCCCTGCAATGGTCGCTGCAAGGGCTAGCGTTTATGGGGAGGGTGCATGGCATGTAATATGGCAATGGCTTCGCTTGAGTTTTAAAGCGCTCTTGAATGGTGCGCATTCGCGTACTAACCCATATTGTGCCTCGCGGGATCCAGGTTTGCAGCCAGTTCTGCGCGCGTTCAGCCGTTGTCGCGAGTACATCGCTCAGGGGCGGTGGCGCGCTGTGACATGGTCTTGCTGCGTGGATATGGAATGCGGGAGCAGCGGTGTTGGATTGGCTCACTCATTTTAATGAACATGACCCTTGCTGGCTGCGCGGAGCCAGCCGCGCTGACCGCAACGTCCGAGATATGTCGAGGCACGCCGCTTGGAAGTCCACCAGGCACAGTTTCCGCGGCGGCGAGTCAATCCCGCCATCCTCCCATTCTGTCTGGCGGGTCCCTGGGATGTCTCGCGTCTGCTGCGCCAGCGAGCGGATGCACACTGTGGATTTGGGTTTATCCCCCAACCTCATAGGTTCTACATTTTGGGAAATCACTCACGGCTCGCCGCTTCCTGGGACAAATGCAATAAAGTTGGGGTGGCTATGTAATAAAGGGGATTTCCATTGCGAAGCTTTGGCGGTGACCAAACATCGGATCTTAGACCTGAACGCAGGCACTTAGGTGGTCTTGCTTGTCTGTCATGCAAAGCTGCCCAGGCACGAGCTTTGTCCCCAGTGGTTTTGGAAATTGCCAAAGGCCCTTTAATCAACAGGGGCAGCAGGTGCGACCTGCACCGCATTGCCGCTTGTGAAGCGTGTGGCAGCGCCCACAAATTGACTTACGAAAGCGACGGCGTACTCACTGATGACCAATTTCGGCGTTTGGACGAGTTTGGACACAGAGTTGTTATACATGGTCAGAGTGAGAGGGCCGAACGGTCATTCAGTGTCCTTGGGTGCGTGGCTTAAGTGCGGATCCTTGGTGAGGATTATGTTTGTTGCGTTGTTGTTGTTGTTGTTGCTGTTGTTGTCGTTTGTTGTTGTTGTTTGTTGTCGTCGCCCCCCCCGCCCGCGACCCGCCCGCGACCGCCCCGCGACCCGTCCGTGACACACCCCACAATCCGCTCGCGACCCACCCGCGACCTGGCCTGCGACCCCCCCGCGACCCACCGTCGACCGACCCACCCGCGACCCATTTGCGACCCTACCCGCGACCCACCTACAGTGTTTTAACAAAGAATCGGCGTTTGCGGCGGGCTCGTTGCATAGTTTGGATTTGTTTCGCTTGCGGCGGGTGTCTTCAGAGTTTCGCAGACGGCAGACGTCTCCGCCCCCTCATTCTTATCCGCAATTGCGGGGTGCTGCGTCATCTCTCGACGACGCGTAGTCTCGATCACAACCATTTGTGCTACAAACCGCACGTATAAGCTACATTCGTTATTTCATGTGGCTGCGTTTGCAACATGTCTCAACCCTCGGTGCGCGTGGGCATGCATGTTCGAAGACATCATGGGTAACATCGTCCGTTGCGGTAGATCTTGCGCCGTTGGCACGCCTGGTGCGCGCGCGGGAAGCAAAGTGCGTCGCGGTGGCCTCCAAGAGGCCACCGCGAGGCCCCAAAGAAGCCCAAAGGCAGCTTCAAGAGGCCCTCAGGATGACCCAAAGAGGCTACCAAGCACCCCCCCTCCGCAGGATATTTCAAGAAGCTGCAAACTTGCCTTCCAAAGGCCCCAAACGAGGCCAGCAACAAGATCCCAACCACCATCCATCTGACCCACCGCCCAGGCACGGTGGCGGGATATGTCGAAGACCAGTCGATCCGCCGCCCCCTGCTTGCAGGAGTGCACGGCGTGCTGGATGTTTCAGGTTTTGGTTTTGGTTCTTTTTCCAAAAGAACTCCCCAGTGGGCTCCGGCAGAACCCGCCGGCCACCCGGAAGGCCCCCAAACGTGCTCAACGACCGGAAAACATCCTCCAAAAAACGGCCGTTTCGCTCAGGACATCCTCAAAAAATCGCGAAGATGGCCCAAGATGGCCTCCAAGTCCGCCCGAGATGGTCCAAGACGGCCTCCAAAACGGCCCAAGAGAGTCCAAGACGGCCCAAGACGGCCCAAGAGGCCCCCCAGAGGCCTCCCAGACGGCCCAAGAGGCCTCCAAGAGGTCCTCCAGGAGAGTCCGAAGAGGCCAAAATCATGGATTTTCCATTGGTTTTTGAAGGATTTTGGCATTTGCGCCTTTTCGGCTCTCCGACGGCTCAAGACGGCCCAAGAAGCCCCCAAGATCGCCCAAGAGGCCCCCAAGAGAGCCCCATGATGGCCCAAGTGGCCTCCAAGATGGCCCACTGAGGGCCCAGAGGGCCCAAGAGGCTCCAAACACGCCAAGATGGCCTCCCAGGACGCCAAGATGGCTCCAAGGACGGCCCTGGAGCTTCCAAGCGGGCCCCAAGTCGGCCCAAGAGACCCCCAAACGGCTTTTCTACGGCTTCAGAGTGCCAGGAACCCAACAAAGATGGCCGCGAAGTGGCTCGAAAGCGCCCGCCGAGACGGCCAAAAAAGACCCAAAAGATCGCCCAAAGCTTGCCCAAGAGGCATTTTTTTTTTCCCCCCAAAAAAAACAAAAAAGGGGGCGGCCAAGATGACCTTCAAGATGCCCAGTGTCCCCGAAGGCTTTCCAAACCGATTCGGGGAACACTTGGTCCGATAGCTTGGCAGGTACTGGCCCAGCCTTTCAACGTTCGGCCACAGAGGCGCTTCCAATTATCCCGGCAAAGCAAGCTAACAGCGATGTGTAGGCGCATATCTGGAAGCATTCCCCTTCAGATTCAGATGAGAATCCAGTTGTAGAATTCAGCTGTTCTCGCAGTCGTAGTCGCATTCGCGATGACAGTCGCAGTGGCAACGGCAGTCGCAGTCACAGCTCAGCCTCAGCCTGCCTCAGCCTCAGCCTCAGCCTGCCTCATCCTCAGCCTGCCTCAGCCTCAGCCTCAGCCTGCTTC